GTGGCTTGTGGGCTCTAGAGTGCAGGCTCAGTAGGTTGTGGCGCATGGGTTTAGTTGCTCCATGGCATGTGGGATCTTCCCAGACCAGGGCTCAAATCCGTGTCCCCTGGATTGGCAAGCAGATTCTTAACCACTGTGCCACCAGGGAGGTCCCCAGAGTGATAGTATTTTAAATGAAATGCAAGATGAAGTAATTTGGAGTGTAAGCATAAAACATATTAAAGGTAATGGTTATTAAGATAGTAAAAACACAGTTTTGTTCATTTCTCAATCTAGAAATAAAACCAGTCAATGTTAAATTAAACACATGGGGGTCTAACATTTCCTTAATTCATTATTTTTAAATTTGTATTACAAAATAAACATTTTTTCTGACTAACAGAATTATCCCTCATCCTTACTCTGATCCACGTCCATTATTTTTACCTCATTTTGTTTGCCTAGATACAACTCGGAGTCGGCGAGACCATGAAGTAGCCGGTAGAGATTACCACTTTGTTTCACGGCAGGCATTTGAGGCAGACGTAGCAGCTGGAAAGTTCATTGAGCATGGTGAATTTGAGAAAAATTTGTATGGAACCAGCATAGATTCTGTACGGCAAGTGATCAACTCGGGCAAAATATGTCTTTTAAGTCTTCGTACACAGGTAAAACTATTTTGGTTTAGGGTGTTGAACTTGAGGACATTTTTCACAGAGTAATTTTTAGTGGGAACTGTATTTTGGTCCAAGAACCACAGGACCTAATTAAGTTCTCATACAGTTTTTTCACACTGATTCCCTACGAATTTAGGTTGCTAAATCTCTTTCAGTTTCCTCTGAGGGGAAAATACATATATTCCATACTTACATATATACACATGTACATGTTTTCTGAAACTTAAAATACAGTAGCTGTAGTGCTGGTAAATGTGTATATACTTTAGTATTTTAAAGGTTATAAAAGGTTATAAAATACTTTGGTATTTTAAAGGTTATAAAAGAATTTCCCTTTCCTGATTCTTATATGAGAAAAATTAGAATAATTAGAGGTCATTTTTATGGTTTTAAATGACATAGTTCAAATATTAGTAAGTATCATTATGAGTGCTGGGTTGTATCTAACGAAATGTCCACTGTTCTATTATCTGTCATACAAAAGAAAACCTTCAAAAATTACTAACAGTTTCTTTTCAGATTTCCGTTAAAAATAAAATAATTTTAGAAATTTGGGATTTTTAAGATTGTGTTTGTTGTGAATTTTTTTTCTTTTTCTACATTGTACAGCTTTAGCGTAAAACTTTCCTTAATGTGGTGGAACCTACTGTGTATGTCAACTCACGAGACATAGGCAGTGGTAATTAAAGAGATGTATATGAAAGAGAATTGAGGGACTTCCCTGGTGGCGCAGGGGTTAAGAATCCGCCTGCCAGTGCAGGGGACACGGGTTCAAGCCCTGGTTTGGGAAGATCCCACATGCCGCGGAGCAACTAAGCCCGTGCACCACAACTACCGAGCCTGCGCTCTAGAGCCTATGAACCACAACTGCTGAGCCCGTGTGCCACAACTACTGAAGCCCATGTGCCTAGAGCCCGTGCTCCGCAACAAGAAAAGCCACCGCAATGAGAAGCCCACACGCCACAACGAAGAGTAGTGCACCCCGCTCACCACAACTAGAGAAAGCCCGCGCACAGCAACAAAGACCCAACGCAGCCAAAGATAAATAAATTTATTTAAAAAAAGAAGAGAGAGAGAATTGATTCCAAAATGGCTTTCCTGAAATAGTAATTAGGTTTTCTTTATTTTTTAGTGAACAAAAGAGCTTATTAGTCTCTGCTGTTTCAATTATAAATATCAGACTTAAGAGAAGGATTGATGTTTTTACTAAATTCCTTCAGAATTCTTTATATTATTTTGGCTAACAGATTTACCAAAGAACTTAGAGTAGTTAAGCATATTGTCTTAATTACTGTTTTTAAGATAGAAAAGGACATGTCCCTAATAATCCCCATTTTTGTAGAGTGCTTCAATTTAGGGACACACATTCATGCAAAGGCAAGGTGAAAACCACAGTCTCTTAATTCAGACAGTATGCTTTTTCTTCTTGGATGTGCTTTTCCAGAATTTTCTTTTGTATGTGTATGTGAAGTTTTTCTCTGGTTCTTTTTGCATTTAGACCCTGGCACATGGTAAGGTGACTGCTCATTTGTAATTCCTTCAAAACGGATTTTTAATATGATTATTTTAATCTGCGTGTGATCTTATTAGCAGGGTATTTTATCATCACATAGTTGTAATTCTTCATTAATTTTATTTCATTACATATAAAGAGTAAGCCAATATTCTGTGTGTGTTATAGGTACACAATATATTCTTATATTGAATGGTTAAGATCTATCTTTTCTTTACAGTCATTGAAGACTCTCCGGAACTCAGACTTGAAACCATATATTATCTTCATTGCACCCCCTTCACAAGAAAGACTTCGGGCATTATTGGCCAAAGAGGGCAAGAATCCAAAGGTAAAGTTATTATACTGTCATACTATTCCATTGAAAGTAACATGAAACAGTCATGGCTTAATATGTCACAGTGCTTAAAAACTACATCAGCTTAGGCTTTCAAACGGATTATTCTTTCTGCCATATCACTTTCCCCAAAACTGCCACAGTTGCCTCTGGTTGGACTTCAGCAGCTCTCCAAAGCAGGGGGCTTCTCTTGTTGTTCCGCATACATTCCCTATTATCACCCCAAATGTATGGTAGTAATACATACAGTTTTATGTATTCCTACCATATATACATACAGTAATACATACACCTTTGGCATTTCTTAAAACTTCCTTACACTTCTTCACACAGATCTATGTTTTTTCTAACAAGGATTAGGTAACACCCTCCCCCCACACCAAATATTCTCAGCAGATTCTTAGGGATTACCCACTTTTATCTGCAGGTAGTCCACATATGCAAGGAGCCAAACTTGAGTCCTCTTGCTTTTCTCTTCTTTTTTCTCATTGAAATTTTATGTTCTGTTTGTCTTCTGCCTTTGATCTTTTCGTATGATCTGAAATGGAAAAATGTTTTTAGTTATTTTTTTTTTGCCAGAATATAGTCAAATTTTATTTTATATGTTATAAGGTACAGACATATGATGCCAGAGATTGTACTTTAAATTTGGCATTGAAAAAATATAATTTGGAAATATAAATAATTATTCAAAGTTCCATAATGTATTTACTCCTCAGATTTGAAATTCAAAATCTGGCCTTCCTTTCCTGTGCCCCAAGATATCAGTCAGCATGAGGCTGCGAATCTTGTGTTGCAACATGCAGCAGAGAATTCATCTTTGAATCCTTTAACTTTGAGCAACACTTAGTTTTCTTTAGTTTCATAGCAGAAAATAGCTGCTCACAAACATAAGTACTTCCAAACATGGACAGAATCTTTGCATAATGGTTTTTATATTTAGGGTAACCTCCCAAGATATCTGTAGAATTCTGGGATTCCGACCTTATCATATTTGGCTTTCAGTATAGTGTTGACCTGCAATTCAGTAACTTCCATTTGTAGCTCTTTATTCACATTATTAATACTAATTGAGAAAGGGGAACTAAACAAGATTAGTTCACTCTCATAAAGTTGGAAAAGTCAGAGAACGTTTTTTGGAATTGAGTCTTCAACTCTTTAATTTGGGGAATGTAGTTCAGGCTGTCATTTTCATTTTCAAAAACTAATTTCATCGTAGGAAAGTGGGCCAAGTTGTTCCTTCCCAAGTGAGTCTACCAAAGACAAAATTTCACTAGGAAGGAGCCAACTGAATCATACATTTGTGTCACCACTTGTGAACGCCTTTGCAGAGAAATATCCAGCATGTTTAGATATGTTATAATAATGTCAACCAAAAAGGTTAAGTCTCTGACCCAATCTTTGCTCGTAAGCTGAGGCTCAGATTTTCCTCTAGAAGACATGAAAAAGTCAGTTTCCTCCAACTGTTCAAAAAGCTGCCTTAGGACCACACCACAATTCAGCCACTTAAGTTCCATAGAGCAGAACATGTTTCCATATTGTGCGTCTAACTGATTAAACACAGCACCGATTTCTGTGGTCCGAGCCATGGGAGTGTATCCGGGTTATGGTATAAACTATGTCCATGACGTGATCCATTTTTAATCTTTTAGCACAAAGTGTCTCCTGGAGAATGAGACCGTGCAGAGACTTAAGTTCCCTGTCTTGGCAAAGCCCTGACACTTTAGATTTCAGTTTTGTAACTAGTTCTTTAACACTAACCATCACAGAGTCACCATCTGTGCTAATACTTACCAACTTTGACCAGTCCACGTTAAATTTTTTTAAGACTTTTCTCATCACGTAAAACTATTTCCTGATGTTGTGCCTGTTATGGGAACCATGTCCAGAAGTTCTTTGATCACATCAAAAGTTTCATTGACACCATGAATAAATACAGCTACGTGGGGGGGTGTTATTTCCATCCACACCTTCCTGAGCTACAATGGAAAAAAGCCACAAATGATTCAGCTTTTTCTTGCAACTTGTCCTGCAAGTTCTCAGTCGTATTGTTAACATGCTGGGCAACAACATTACCAGCTAGTCTTATGTTGGCAAATGCGTGTCTGTTCAGGGCACATGATTTCTGCTGCGCTCAACAGACAGTCTTTGATAAACTCACCATCTGCAAGAGGTTTTGCTGACCAGGCAATTTTCTCACTTAATACATAACTACATTTCATGGCAGCATCACTTATTTTATCCACGTTCAAAAGCAAATCATGTTGAAATTTCAGTCTTTTTTTCAGTTTGTTGAATTTTCTATCACACGTCTTTTCTGTAAATCCATCGTGGTTCCTATGATGGTTGCTTTCATAATGGTGTTTTAGGTTACATTCTCTCGACACAGACAGGCTTTGTTTGCATATTAAACATGTAGGAACATTCTTTACCTCCACAAAGAAATACGCTCTCTCACATTTTTCTTGAAATGCATGGCTTTCTTATTCTTTCGTTTTCCCATTCTCCAAGTGCTCTTTTTTCCGTCTCTTTCATCTTGGCCTTGGCTTTTTTCTCCAACAAGGTCCAGAACTACAGGAAGCCCACCGATCTCTGTTCCTTGCTTCTCTTCCAAGGCTCGCTGTGCATCGGCCTGTGACTTGAAGTCAATATAGGCGATCCTTTCACTCATCCTATCCTTGCCCACCAATCTGATTTGAAAAGCATCCTAAAACACTTCTATTAATTCATGCTGAGTGACTTTGTCAGGCAGGTTCTTGATCAAAAGTGTTTTGGCATTTCGATCTTTCTTTGTTTCCTTTCCCTTTGGTTTCTTCAATTTAGTTTCATATCCAGGGACCTTTGTTTCACTGAGTTCCAGGGCTTTTTCCTGGTCATCAGCAGATTTAAAATTCACTAACCAAATCTCCTTCTAATTTCTGTTTTTTGGTTTCAGTGGAAGCCTTCTGTTTGGTCATTTCCTTCTGTTTATCAGGTGCTTTCTTCGTAGGCTCTTCATCCTCCTCCGAGGTCTCATGTCTCTTCTCATGGTCCTTGAGCTTGGCACTCCTCCTATCTTTTGGCAAATTGGCCCCTGTGGCTCCCCTCCTGTGTGGTGATATTAATTTCTCAGCAAACATGGGAGCCAGAAACGTTTTTTTTCGATTTTATTTCCGGGAGCAGTAGCAACCTTCCTACCATTCTTAGGGACGACAGCCTCATCTCTGCTGCCATTGTCATTATCTCCTGACATCTCATCTTCCCCATCTTCTATTTCTTTTAGGGAAAGACTCATTTTCTTTAGTTCACCTTGATTTGTTTTCCTCTCCAGACTGAGAACTCATTGTTAACGGGACCAGCTTCCATCTCTACCCCCATCAAAATTAACAACACAAATAAGGAGTCTAAAGCCAGAAACTTTAACCATCACTTCCCAAATTAACCCGCACAGTGTCGTCCCTGACGAGTTCTCCTCCCTTTAAGGCTATCGCTGGTGTAGGGCACTGCCCACTCAGAGTCCTGCAGGCCATTACACGGAGCCAACCAGGATTGGACGCCCAGGAGAAGCCTGCAGCATCCCACAGGCACCAACAGGCCAGGAAGGCCCTCTCAGCAGCCGCCCAGGACTCTAGGCCCCAGGCAGCTAATTATTTTAGATGCTGGATGTGGTTGAGGTAGTCCATATTATACCAAACAGTACTAAAAATTAAATGATAATATATTGATATATTAATCAGAAAGCATTGACATTTTATTTAAATGTATGAAATGAAAACCGTCAAGTGACATGCTATATCAAAGTAACAAATACTCTTCCTTGTTTTTTGCCAATTTCCTAAAAATTTCTATTTTACAGAGGAATCACTTAGATCTCATTTCATTTGCTATGCCTTTAAATCTCCTTAAAAACCATAAAAACACATAATAATATTCCTCCCTAAAATCTCCTCAAAACTCTTTGATTCTTGACTATTCACCACACCCACCAGCCCTCTTTCTTCCTCCCCAAGGTATCTTTTTCTACTCTGGGTCTACTTACATTTGTTATTCAGTCTGTATGTGAAGGTGGTATTTTTCAGTGTCTTCGACATCAGGGACTTTCCCATCCTTTGTGTTGAGCATAATTCTGGTTGCTTTATTTAGGCTAAGTAGGCCAGCTGTTTAAAGTAGTGTTTCACTCCTTTTTTATTTTTGCAACACAAGTGCAAGTTCATAAATAAGTAGGGTCAGAGTATCTGCTGTCCTAAGCACTTGAGATGATACAAAAGAAATCTGAGACATAAAGTGGGGGAGGTGGTGGTGGTGGGATGAACTGGGAGATTGGGATTGACATATAGACACTAATATGTATAAAATAGATAACTAATAAGAACCTGCTGTATTAAAAAACTAAAATAAAATTCAAAAAAAAGTATGAGACATGTTTGCTGGCTGTTCTTGAGGAGGATCACATATAATAAGGAAAACTAGATCGATAGTCTATGAAACTTGGTGCCCAGTTAACTACTTTGGTAGACCAGAAATACTGTAGTGGTTCTAGGAGAGGAATGCACATAAAGGACCAAAATGGACTCCATTTTACTTGTTCAACCTAATTTTCTATTTTCTGACATGCACACTTATTTTTTGTTAGGTTATTCTTCTCCAGCAAGAATTTGATACCATGCCAAGGGCCACATGCCGTTCCAAAACATGTTAAGCAACTTTCTTTTGGTTGGTGGTCTCTGCCAGGGCTCTCATGGAATTTTTTAACCTATTTTATTTTTGATATTTTAATATTTAATTGTAATATTTAATATTTTAAATATTTTTACCTACTTTAATTTTAATTCAGATTGAGTGAGTTCTAGAAAGAATACCTATTAACAGTTGACCCTTGAACAATGTGGGGTTTGGGCACCAAAACCTCCACACAGTTGAAAATCTGTGTGTAACTTATAGTTGGCCCTCCATATCTGCAGTTCCACACCCTCAGATTCAACCAACTGCAGACAGTGTAGTACTGTAGTATTAAC